CAATGCGGGGCTCGAACTCACGGACCGTGAGATCATGACCTGAGCCGAAGTCGGATGCTTAACCGACTGAGCCACCCAGGCGCCCCTATCTCTCCATTTCTGAGCCATCACTCAGGCAGATACTTACTGACCTCTTTTTTCCATCTCCACTTTGACCCAGGAGATTAAAGGAGGCCATTGTCACATCATCATTGGTCAGCCAATCAGGTGAGCACCTCCCGTCAATGACCTCCTTGTTCCAGAGGAGTTCTTCAGCAGTTTCAATGGAAGGAGGGAGCCAAGAAGGAGGCCTGGCATAAGTCCAAAGATGATAATTACAACATGGATTGTGTACATTCTTGCCCGGAAAGGTGCAGGGTTCCCCTTCCCACCAAAAAGCAGTTCGGTAGGTGGAGCTTGGGATAGCTACCTGGAATTGTTTCTCATCCATCTCCTCCCTTCTGAGCCCCCTACTGCACTTCCAAAGAGATCTTATAACATAACTTTGAGTAAGAATGGAGGAGGAGGGCTGGTTCTCTAGGTATTCTGAGGGCATTAACTTACCAATTTGTTACAGGACGTTGAAGTTGTAGAAAGTGAGGCTGTATCTGTAGTACAGCACTGGCTGAAAAAGGTGAGTAAGATTTCTCTATGACTCAGGGTACCCCAAATTCTAGAGCGCTGGCCTCAGCGGGTGCAGGAATCTGGACTCCTTTCCTCCTAAACCTGGGAAACTCAAATTCATTGCCAAACACCTTACCTAGAGCTGTGTCTAATTCACCAGATTTCCTAAAAGATGCTGGGGCTTGTGTCTTCATCAGAGATGTGTTGGAATCATCACTATCCCCACCCTGCTTCTCAAGGATACTGGATGAGAAGTTTCAGATGTGTCACCTCCAGCTACTGGGCATCTCAGCAGTATCTTGGGATAGGGCCAAGGATTTAATGAGTCCCCTAGAATTCTACAGATAAGCTTGCTATGGAACTTTGAGAGATAGAGTGTGTACGAAAAGACACACAGCATGTGCAGGGAAAACAGGGAGAAGGAAGAAGAGATACAGAGCAACGCTTTCAGGGGAAATTACTCACCTTTCAGACTGAAGAAGAGGCTTCCCAGGACATAAAGGAGAAGATGTCGACCAACTGCCCTCCCACGCATGGCCAAGATGTACATGTGACCAGAGATGTGGTAATTGAGAGTTTGAGGCAATCATCCTAGGGGAGTGGGCAGATAGGCAAACATGCACAATGTCCAATTGAAAAGGGTCTTGGGCAAGTGGGTGGAGCTTGTCCAGGCTGGGTCCCACCCCTCCCAGGGAGTCCTTGCTGGACAGTAGTCACATGCACCCTACCTGGGTTTCCTAGGTGAAGCACCATCTCTCAAAGTCTGATTTGTTGGCAAACCAGAGTCAAGAGGTCCTGGAGGAAAGAACGAGAATCCAGTTCATAAGATGGAGGTAAAACATCTCATTTGCCCTGAGCCGAGTTGTGGGGAGGGAGGCACAAGGGCCCCACCTTCAGTATACCTGGCCAACACAAATTCACAGCTATTCTTCTCCAGAGATGTTGACTTTTTGGCTGAGAAATTTTTCAGTCTTTGGGGTGTTAAGGGAATATTTTTGCTATCTTGAAAGCCCAGCTCATTCCTAAGTTTTAGCATGACTTGAGGGGTTGCAAAACTGGGCTTGCTCACCGTTTCTTAAATGCTTCTGAATAAATTTTAGACTTCTGTTACTTTTGCACTTGATTTGTTAAGAAGTGGCTGTACTTTAAAGAGCAAAAAGAAAATAAGCTCTTAAAATGCAAAAGCCTGAGCCCTCATCTGCAGCTGAGGTGAGAGGAGGTTTCTCAGTGCCCAAGGCTAGAATTCTGTGCTTCACATTATGGTGGCTTTGCCAGCCTCCCGCTATGCCTGCTGGAGCACAGACCACCTGCATCTGCCTCTCTTGGCTCTGAAGGGCTGAGACCTGAGGTGGAGGGAGATGGGCCTGGAAGCCAGCTCATTCTCTCTGGCATGAGCGTCCCTATTTTCTTCAGGACTAGGGTTCACTCAGGGTCTCTTTTCCCAGCCAAAGAAATGTGGGATTAAACAGGTACTCCTGGAAACTGTGGAACAGCTCCCCTCTCATTTCTGTACTCTTTTCTTCCTTCCCCTGCCTCCATCACCAGCTTTGTTCATCTCTACTAAGGAGGACATATTTCTCAAGAAATGTATTTTTGCTGAGGGATATCCAGTTTTCTCTGTTTACCCCTTACAGTGTCATTAGCATTTTAAAACAGTATTCAAATGCTCAGTAATTATGTAATAGGAAAGGGTAGCAAATAATGGAATTTGAGACCTCCTTGGGAAAGACTTTTTGGATGGGAAACATATTCTAAAATCATAAATGTTGGGGACTGTATACAATCACTGCCGTGCATGTGGGAGACTGTCCCTGCCTGACATAGCTGCACTATATGGAATTGTAAATGTTGCAATTCCTTGGTCTGGATAATATGAACATCATCTTCAGATATTTTTTAAACATTAGCTGTATGGCATAACTAGATTCAAGCTTTGGAGACAACCTACAGTCAATTATCCATGTATAATTTTTCCACTCTGGACTTTCTGTGGATTTTTTAAATCCATAAACTGTGACTGGTTCCCCTATAATCCACTAGTTTTGGTATTATTTTATTAGGTTCAGTAAATATGTAGTCAGGGAATACATATCCCTTCATTAAGCATCAGTGGATACTCATTTATTTGGTAGATGACCACCAGATGTTTGCTAGGACTTCTAAAGAGAGAGAAAATAAGATGGAGTTCCCCGTTTCCAAGGGATAAAAGTGAACTAGGTGGATAAGGTATGCAAATGTTAGAGAAAATGTCAGAAAAGCCATGAAGAGGATCTATAAGAGCATAGCATGGGAGACCCAGCTTGCACAAGCTCTAGGCATTGCTGCCTGGAGTAGCCAGAAGAGGTTTCTAGCAGGACATTTGCTTGGACTGACCCATAAGCTGGGCAGGGACAGGATAAACAGGAGCAGGAATGAGGGGTGTTTCAAGAGATCACGAAAGCCTTGGCAACTTAGCCAATTCCATCTGGCCTCCAGTGCCCAGTGCTGTGGCCCCTTCTCTGAGGTTTCCTGCTTTCTGCCTTGGGCTGGGAGTAATCTCTCCCTTCTCTGGAATTCCTTTATCCTCTCTTGCCTCTCTTTGGACACTGACCCAGCTCTACCTTGTGTGAGTGGTAAATGAGCACATTTATCTCTCCCAGACTTCAAGTCTTCACATTGAAAGCCCCAGAGCACCTAGAACAAGGCAATTTTAATAGATGCAAAAATGGAGGATATAGTGGACACACTGGTTTTGCTGGAGTGAAGGACTTGTGGGGGAAGAATAGAGTTGAGGGGGGCATGAATTGCACCACAGAGAGGAAGGCAAGTCAGCATGGTGAAATAAAACAACAGCAGCAATGAATGGTCTGCAGCTTCTTTGTGACAGAATTTTCTACAATTATCTCTAAACCATAGTGAATATGGCACAATGTAGGTCATAAAGAGCTGATAAGAAAGTTGGAGAGGAATTCAGAAGGAGTGAATTCCATGTCTTACAAGGTTACTCACCTGCTGTGCAACTCTAGTAAAGGCACTTAAACTTTCTGTTTCTTTGACTTTCCCTAGGACCATTTGCTACCTACCCAGGATTATTGAGTGACTCAGGGGTACTTGATAGTAAAACAAAACAAAACAAAACAAAACAAAACTACCCTTGTGTGCCTCATGAAAGAGGAGTGAAGGACAAGATCAAAATTTCATGGCGACAGAATATTGTTTATATGATTCCAACCCATTCACTATGCTTAGTGATAAAGAAACTCAGGAATTCCAAATGTTTGAATGGTGTTTTTCAGCCATACCCGTATCTTCCAAGTGCCAAGTGAGGTGAGGGAGGATGTTATGCGAGACCGAATAGAGCAGGTGAGACGAAGGTAAGCCATTTGGGACAAGTTTATTTGTACTCCTAACTGGGGGCAAGTGGCGATGGGGGTGGCTGTTAGCCTCTCCTCTGTGGGTCTCCCTGGCTCCAGACCACACCTGGGTTCCATGGCCATGCCTGAAGCCCTTCTTGGCTGAGTGTCTCTTTGTGGGACTTTGCTCCAGGACCCGAATGGGGCAATGGCTCAGTCCTGGGCTGTGTGGGCATCTCAGCTCCACGCCATGATCTGGATGTGCACTCTGGGTAAGCTTTGCCATCTGGCAGCCTCCCCTTTGCCGTGTTCTTCATCTGCAGCCTACGCAATCTTACGGATGAATCATCTCAGGAGATTCACAACAGAACTTCCTATGCAGACTGCTGAGAGCTACAGGTGAGAGGGCCAACAGGTGAGGAAAAGATGCTGTCCTGGGTGTGAGACAGTGTCCTGGGTGGAAGTTTGATTATAAAGTTTAGCTTTTCATTTTGGTGAGGAGGCCTACACTTGGGGCCAGTGGGAGTGTTGGTGAGGTTACCTTAGGCTTCTGCAATGCCTTTCTAAAGTTTCTGAAAGGACTTGAAGTCAAGTTCAGGATTTGACCTCTCTGACACTTTTAGCTGTGGTGTCACAGTGAGTGCTTCTAAGCCTGGAACAGGTAAGGGACCACTTGGGATCTTGTGTTAGTAGGTTGTCAGAGGGCCTGCTGCTCTGCATTTTTAACACCCCAAGGCATTGCTGCTGTTGGTCTACTGACCCTACTTGAACCACAAGGTCACAGAGCACTGGGGTCAGGAGTGAGGGCATATATGTTTTGACCCTTCCACCAGTTGGGACTTGGCTTTGGGTCCCATGGCTTCTTGGCCTGCATTTGGTACCTGTGGTCACAATAGTGGCCATTTACATGGCTCTGGTAGGTGGAAGGCCAATGACAGTCGATGCACTACAGAGGCCATCCATTCAGGAAAAGGTTACTGCACCCTGTCAGGTGTGAAGACTGAACTGGATGTCATAGGGGACTGAAGGAGTGATTTAAACACAGTAGAACCCCAACATACTTTCAAGGAAGGCTATGGAGATATAGCACTGGCATTTATGGAATTCTTATTGTATACCAGCTTCAGCACAAGGCATTGTCAAGATTTCTCATCTGATCCAAAAGAACCTTAAGAGGAGGGCATTGTTCAAACCCACTATACAGATGGCACAGGATACTGGCTTTTAGTCCAACTCCATGTGCCTCAATTTTTTCAGACTTTAGAACATTGCTTGAGGACAATGGCTTCCAGCACTTAGGAAATGACATGATGTGCCATGTCAATTGTTTACTCATATTAAAGAGATAAGGAATCTGGGGTGCTTGCAGGGTCTTCTGAAGTTTGAAGAATCAGATTTCAATTTGTATTTTCAAAATAGGTCAATTCAAATGGAAAGTTTCAAGTTTGAAGAAAGCCAAGTTTCAACCCCAGCTTTGTCTGATACACTATCGTCCTTTCCCTCCATGGGTTTTTCTGCTCTAGGTGCACCTCAATGAGTGTTGGGGTTGTGGGCTTTGGAGGCATGATCATCAAGCCCTGTAGCCATCCTGCATATCTGTGATGCACCCCTGCATTTCTCTGATGCAATCCTCTGCTTCCCAGGTTCATGTCCTTTAGGGTCAAGGAACAGCCTGTGTCAGAAGAACGTCTATTACCCCTTGACCTGAGGAGCGACTACACCTGGGGAGATAGAATCTGGTGGGTGAGCCTTTCCTTGTGACAGTGCAACACTGGAATCTTCCCGCTGAACTGCTAATAAAGAGACACGGTATTTAATCACTGTCCTGGTCTCTGGTGTGAGTGCTTTGCCATCCATTCATTCATCAGGCTCTGAGCACCTCATGGGCTTGGCTCTGGGGACTCACAGCTTGCAGCTTTTTGGGGAGGCAGATGACAGGCCAGAACAGAGCTGTGTCAGCAGGCCATGTGGGGTGCTCCTGGAACACTAGAAGGGGTGCTGGGCTAGGCCAGGACAGGAGGATTTCTGGGGGAAGTGTGCCTTGTTTGTTTCACTCAAGTATTTATTTTATCTTTATTTCTTCTCTAGCTCTCTTCCTGTCTTTATGTAGATCCAAGTTTCTGACTTATTCCTTTCCCTTTCTGAAGAACTTTTAATAGTTCTTGTAAGGCAGGTCTACTGGAGACAATTTGCCTTGAGTTTTGTTTGAGAAGGTATTTCTACCTCACTCATGAAGGACAATTTTGAGGGACATAAAATTCTAGGGTTTTTTTTTGTCTTTAACACTTTAAATACGTGCCCCACTCTCTTCTTGCTTGCATGGCTTAAGAATGGATATTACATGGAATTTTTATCCTTGCTCCTCTTTAGGTAAGGATTTTTTCCTACTCAGGCTTCAAGAATTTTTTTTCCGTGTCTTTGATTTTATGCAGTCTGAATATACTATGCCAAGGTGTAGAGTAGGTGTAGGTGTAGAGTAGGTGTAGGTGTAGAGCTTTGAATGTTTACCGTGCTTGGTTTTCTGAGCTTCCTGGATCTGTTGTATGGGGTCCACTATTGCAAAATTTTCAACTACTATTACTTTGACCATTTTTTTTCTGTTCTCTTCAGTTTTCTCCTCCTGGTATTCTCATTATGCATACATTGTACCTTCTATAATTGCCCCAGTTTTTTTTCCCATTCTGTTCCCCCATTTTTTCCCATTCCTTTTGTTATCTTTACTTTTTAGTCACAGAACTTTCTGTTGGCATTTCTTTGAACTCAATGTTTATTTCCTTGGTTCTGTCTAGTCTACAGATGAGTCCATCAAAGACATTCTTGATTTCTATTACAGGATTTATTATTCCTGGCATCTCCTTGTGATTTTTCTTAGGGTTTTCTTTGTCTCTGCCTACATTGCCCATCTATTCTTGTGTATTGTCCACTTTTTCTATCAGATTCTTTAGCATGTTTATTATAGCTTTACATTCCCAGTCTGACAATTCCAACATCTCTGCCTTATTCGAGTCTGGTTCTGATGCTTGCCTTGTCTCTTCAAGCTGTATGTTTTTTTATTTTTTATTATTTATTATTTATTTTTTTACCTTTTATCATATAGCATAATTTTTTGTTGAAAGCCAGATATGCTGCATGAGATAAAGAAGCCCAGACAGATAGTGTGAGGTTTTATGTTTATCTGGTTAGGAGTTAGGCTGCATTTCCTCTCTCCAGCAGCTGTAGTTTCAGAGACTAGCATTTCTTTTTGTCCCCTTGCTTTTGTCTTCCTTGTTGTTAGGTTTCCCCAGAGGTTCTTTCTTAAAAAGGGTCTGAGACTTATAATTCTTTCAGCTGAACCTCCCCTCCCTCCCCCCCCCCCCCCCCCCCCCCCCCCCCCCCCCCACTGCCCATTGTTCTATAGGGGACTCGTGATGTGGTGGTGAGGTCTGAGAGGAGAGGGGGAAGTTCCTAGGGTCCTCTGATCAGGTGTCAGTCTCTTAGGGAGCCTGTGCCCCTGGCTGTGTCCAGCTCACCTTTCCCCTCCCCCCACCTCCACGTTAGGAGAGGCAGGAAGGCCAGAGAGGACCACGTTGGATGTTTTCCTTCCCTCAGGGTAGGCTCTGGAAAAAAACAGTCTACCTTGAGAACAGGCCTTTGTTAAGGAGAACAGAATGCTCTGGACGTGTTTCAAAATGGCTATTTTCCTCTCCCTTTGCTGAGGTGGGCAAGAAGGAGGGGTTCTAATCTTTACTGTGAGAACCTGGTTGGGCTTCTGGAGGGAAAACTCAGAAGTGGAGGGCCTCTTAAGATTGGGCCCCTAGACTTATTAAATCTCAAGCTTGTCCACATTGAGCCACCAGCAATTCATCAATTACATTTAAGTTTCCCTACTCTGATGCTGTTTCCTAGAGGTTACTGTGTCTAAGATGTAATTCTCCATAATAACCTGTCTCTCTCTCCAATTCTCTGGTCAGCATTTTGCCCTTTGACCTAAATTCTCTGATGGATCTAGGAACTATTGTTGGTTTTTGGTTTGTTCGGTTTTTTTTCTAATTGTAAGATTGGGAGTGACAATTGCAAGCTCTTTACATATTAGACTGGAAATTGCAAGTCTTATTCAGGTCTTTATTGAGTGTCTGCTAACGTGGACTGAGCACCTACTGTGTGCCATGTACTATCCAAGCAGCCCTCTGATATAGATGCTATTACCACATGAAAGGAGACAACACAAGACCGAGTATCTTGAGTTACTTTGGTGACATCAGAGTGTGAGAACATGGCCTGGCTTCTGGCTCCCAAAACTTCTCTCTCAGCCACACTGTTGTACTATGTGTGGGACTGGGCTAGGCCTGGGGAATGAAACAATAAGTAGGACCCACCCTCTCTCTGCTCTCTTCAACTTCATTTTGATAGGTTTTGATAAGTTTTAAACAGTCACAATTTTCACAGTTACTATAAAGGAGAAGTACTATATATAATGGGAACTTGCCCTAATCAGAGAATAAAACAGATTTATTTTTGATTATTTGAAAATCATCATCCCCATTGCACAGACGAAGAACTGGAAGTTCAGAGAGGTTAAGTAGCTCTCCTGATGTCACACAGCCATCCAGTGCCCTTAACCACTCCATTGTGCAGCTAAGCTGGGGGAAGGGTCATTTTGGTTGATTGTGGTAGTGAGCCTTGGCCAGTAAGACACTGTAGAAGGGAGAGAGGTGGAGGTAGGACACGTCCTTATCCACCATGCCCCACTACTCCCAGAGGTCAGGAATGCCTGCACTCTCCCTCTCCATCACCTTTCCCTTCCAGCCTGCTTGCCTGCTTGCCCCAGTGGGGAGGCAGAGGGCAAAGGACAAAGTAGGAGTTGACCAGCCAGGGGACAGAGGAGCAGAGCTAGGCAGTGGTAGGTGAGAGGGCTCTGGGATGAGAAGAGTATGATGTGACAGAGAAAATGCCAAAAGGCCACTATAGCTGGATGGGAGCAGGAGGAAGAAAGGCCACAGAGGAAGCTGTTGAGAGGGGGCCAGGGCCAGGCCATATGGTCTGGGGGCCTTGTCTTAGCAAAGATGAAAAGTGCAGGAATGTTGGAGGAAGAAGGGGATCACATATGTAGAGGCGGGCTGAGCTACAGGATGGAAGCAGGGACCTCAGGAGAGGTCTCTTTGGGGAGGTGAGGGGATGTAGAGGAACAAAAGGATTTGAACAGGACAGACATGACTTGGTGATGTGTGGCACCAGAAGAACTGGGGAGAAGAAAAGTCCTGGGGGTGCAGCTGTCTGTGGAACTGCCACTTACTCAGATAGGGGAGTCTTGGTTGGGGGAGATAAGTTAAGTTTGGGTAATGATTTAGGCCCCTGTAGAATATCTCAGTGGTGATGTCAAGCAGGTGGATGACGGATAGACAGAACTGGGC